AAAAGAATTAGTCATAAAATATTTACAGTTCTATATGCCATAACATTTAAATCGTAACACTATTATTAAACTTTCTTAATTCTGTAAGGCATTAATTCATATTAGAATAAGTGGTTAGGGTAGGTTAGGTAAGGTTAGGTTAGGTTAGGTTAGGTTAGGTGTGATGTCTAAATCTTATACTATTATTAAACTTTCCTAATTCTCTAAGGCATTAATTCATATTAGAATAAGTGGTTAGGATCTTAGATCAATTGACAGGTCTTGATGGGTGCTTGAAGCAGCTGCAACGCCCATAACCCAAATCTTTTGATAATTAAATCGATATGTATATTTGAAATCAATTTACAAGATAGTAAATATTTTAAGATTGATAAAAGATTTCACTGGTTTAAATCAGTGGTGTCTCATTACAATTACGATATCATTATTGAATAACATAAAATAATATTACATTCTCTATAAGCAAAATGGATTTAAATAAATATTAGGGCTTTGCTATTATATTTAGTACCTTAATATTTAATCCACTAAATCAACTAATCATACAACTCCTTAATTAAGTTATCGCAAACATTTCATATTTAGTAAAAATGAGAACTGAAGTATACTCGAACATCAGGAAGACGCATAACTAATCTGACTTGGCAATGGCAAGTTTGACCTTGCCCGAAACGTCGTCAAAATCAAACTATTCAACTCGGAGTCACACCCGAAAAACGTCAGAAACTATATTTACCTTAGCACACCTTACCCTTGACATAGCACACTATGGCGTCATCTTTTGAAAAAAGACATGACTTATTCGGGTAGTCAAAATTCAAATTTATTTCACAACAGTTTCCTATATATGTTTTAATGGGAATTGGTCGCAAAACTTAGGTTTACATTAACAGATGGCATATTAAAAGTTGTAGGTTACTTTTGACTGCTGTGAACACGTGTTTTTAGTTAGTAGTAAATCATTTGTGTGTAAATTAACTGGATAAAAATTTGGTTTTTATCCAGTTTGACCCCAGTGTCTCCTGACCCTATTGAATTGACTGATAAAGATAGTGGAGATGAAGACTGTGAAGGAATATTCAATAACCTAAACAAAAATATGTTTAATGTGGAATCAGAAGCTGTAATTCATCAAAAAGAAGGAAGAAGGATCGACGAAGAAAATATAAATCTACATGAAAAAGAGGCAGATTTTGACAGTGTGACACAAGTTCAAGAAGAAGAAGATACAGAAGAAATTGAGATGGAAACAGAAATAAAGACACAAAATGAAGAAATTCAAGATATGCAAGTGGCATCTACCGCGATTCGTGCAAAAAGTATAAATCTCCTACGACAGAAATAAATTCAGGAAGATTTACCAGATAAAAGTTCCCTTTATTTGGATATTGAACATAAAAAAACTCAATGGAATACATACACTCCTTCATTTTATTCACGACCATTCACTCCTTTACAGATTTTTTTTCAATAAAGATCTTTTAACAAATATTGTAAAGAAGACCGTTCGTTATGCTCTTCAAAAAGGTACTACTTTAGAATTTGGAGTAGACGAGTTAAAAGACGAGTTAACCCCACTTCTCTCAAGATGTTTATAAGTTTATCATGCTTTACTCTATCAAATGGCTTTTTGTAGTCGATAAAACAAATATTCACATCACAGTTAACATCCCTGCATCTTTGCATAAGCACTTGGACAGCGAATAAAGCCTCTCGGGTGCCCAAGGAATCGCGGAATCCTAACTGCGTCCATGATACTTGTTATTCGCATTTTTTATATATTCTGCCGTGTATCAAGTGGCTCATTAGGCTAATTGTTCTGTAGTCTTGTTCATCCATAAGTTTTAGGAATTCTGCACAAAATTCGTCAGGCCCTACCGCTTTACCATCTTTAGTTCTTTTAATAGCTGACGTGACTTCTTCAATAGTAATCGGGGCTCCTGTTTGGCATTCAATGTCTTCAATGGTATTCTACCTTTCATCTGCAAAAGTTACACATAATTCTTCCAACTGTCTAGTTTTTCTTCCACAGCTAACAGTGGTTTGCCTTGGTTATCTGCCAAACACCCAACTCTTCTAGGTTTATATAAGCCTGCGGCTTCTTTAACTTTTTTGTGCATATTAAATGAATCGTAATTATAGTTTATTCGTCTTCCGGGTTTGGACCGTGTCATTTGTGAGTGACCCAAAAGTGGGTTCATCTCCACTTACACATACTTTTGGGTCACTCACAAATGACACGGTCCAAACCCGGAAGACGAATAAACTATAATTCTGACTCTGGCCGTGGAAGCCTACGATTGTAAATGAATCGTGTTTATGTTGCAATTGCTGTATTTCCGCACACTGTTTTCTTAAATGTGTATCCTTAACTATTCTAATAGCTTTTTTGATCTTTTTATCGATTCTTTTGTATAATAACATGTCTTGATCTTTGAGCTTTCGCCTCTCTTCCATCATATCTAGAATCTCATTTATCATCTACGATTTCTTCTTTATTTTTGGTGGGTTGAGAAATTTCTCTCGTATGTCTTTTGAAACTGTATGTAACTTTTCTAGCTCCTAGTCCATTGCATCCGACTGAATAACGGTATTCAAATTGTTCTGTATATACCGCTTTACACTATTTTCTGTGTGTTGGTCTTTTAATAGCTTGATGTCGAATTATGGCATTTAGATCAACTATAATCAAAGTTAAATCCTTTCTGAGGAGTCGTTTTAAGGTGTTCGATAGTTCGTTATAAAATGCTTCACTTATCTCGTCCGGTTTGTCAGCTATAGGGGCATATACCTGGATAATGTTAGATGTAATTGGGTAGGTATTAAGTTGAAGGAGGAGTATTCTTTCCGATATAGGTACAAAGTTTTTAACATGTCTGACAGTTTCTTGATTTAAGATTATACCTACCCCATTTTCGTGTCTTCCATTAGGGTTACCTGAGTAATATATATGATGATTAATTTTACATTGCCCAGAGTTCGTCCATCTTATCTCACTTATTCCCATTATGTCTATTTATAGTATATCCATCTCCTTGATTGCATTATGAGTCTTGCCTGCCTTATATATTGTTTTAACATTCCATGTGCAGATCGTGAGGTTTATCTTTCCACTATAATGGCAAGGATTTCTTCTGCTGGCGACCGAGAAGACCTTGCCGTCTTGTGATTGTCCTTCTCTGCCGGATTTTGGTATCCGAATTCCATAATCAGTAAACATGCATCGTAATCGATTTAAAATCATTATAAGATTCCTCCATTTTAACGATAACCTAAACATAGATCGTTCGGACGAAACATACAAAATTATGGGTGGATGAGGCCATACACCATACTATGAGCGTCATGGTATGAAACAACATATAAAAGAAAGGCAAGACCATTCGCTTTGGGTATAAATCGCGTTGGAATCAGAAATCTGGTTACCTGGAAACCTGGTTTTACGAAAATTGGTACGACGAGAAAAATGAGGTGCTTTTATATAGGTAGAATGACAACGGAATAGTTACTTATCAAATTACCATAAAACGACGCCAGTTTATCAAGCGAACATATACTCCTTTGTTCAAAGCAAAAAAATCAAAGTTACACAACCACATCTTATATCTTTATATAAAAATATAAAAATGAAAAAGGTCCTATGTGGCAAAGATCTAACATTAGCTCTTAAAGTACGCCTAACAAAATGTTACGTATACAGTGTACTATATTATGAAGTGGAATCATGGACGTTAAATCTAGATACCATGAGACGACTTAACGCCTTTGAGATGTGGACCTATAGAAGAATTATGAGGGTTTCCTGGGTAGATAGAGTTACAAACAATGAAATACTGAGAAGAATAGGCAAAGAGAAGGAAATTGAACTTACAATTAAAGAAAGAAAGCTACAGTATCTCGGACATGTGATGCGGGGCGATAAGTATGGCATCCTGCGACTCATAATGCAAGGAAAAATAGATGGCAGAAGAAGCATCGGAAGAAGACGAATTTCATGGCTGAAGAACCTGAGAGAATGGTTTGGATGCAGCTCAAAACAACTATTTAGAGCTACTGCCTCAAAAATTAAGATAGCTATGATGATTGCCAACCTCCGTAGCGGAGATGGCACCTGAAGAAGAAGAAGAATCTTATTCGGGCTTATAACGACAATATGTGAGAAACTAATCGGATGGATCAAAATTTTCCTATTACAGAACAAATATAAAATCCAAGAAATGGTATTGGCCTCTATTTATCTGGGGTATTGATGTCCATACAAAATGCTTGGTTAATTTACCATAGAATGAGACACATTATCTCTGAACAACCTGAAATGGATTTGCTGAAGTTTCGTCAAAATATAGCCAAAGACTTATTGACGATGTTCGAAACTCCTCGAAGAAGACATGGTTCATCTCAATCTTCCATAAACTACATTACACATTACATACATTAGAAAATGTATTAAATGTAAGGTTGCCTTACATAAAAAATGTTTTATTAAATTTCATAGTAATACGCAATATTTTTTTTATATTATTTTAATGTCAGTTTATTTAAAACTACCTATTTTATATGATTTAATAAAACATTTCAAACAACGTACTTTTAATTTTTTTACATCCTAATTGCCCATTGTTGCGTTTTCGCAACTGGCAATTATCAAAAAAATTTAAGTTTTTCATTTTTTAAACATATATTTTTGTTAATGTTGTGACTTTAAGAATATATATTTTTCAGAAATAAAAAAATAAGCATAAATAGTTCTGGGCATGAATGGGTTATTTAAAAAGATCCAAATACAAAATATTTTATTCTCGAAATCACCCTGATTTTATAAAATTTAAACATTATAAAACCTGTTGATTATAAACAAATATGATTGAAAAAACTGGATTTAGCTGATATATCGGCTAATAAATATGTTTTTCAGTCTACGGCAATGGTACCTCAAGGTTAATAAAATATGCGAAATGAATGATTCTTTAAATAAATGATACTTTAAAGAATCTTAGACAGTCGTATCCTAATAATGAAGTTCGTACATATATTTTTAATACTGCATTTAAACTATGTTCCATCATTGGCTCTAAATATATTGTATGCACACGATGTAGCTAGTCCAAGCCATGAAATATGGAATTATGAGCTAGCGGCTGCACTAGTGGCAAGGGGACACAACGTAACAATGTTTAGTCCTCTTCCCAAACCAGGACAAGGTCAAAGGAATTATCACACAATTCAAATTGAAGGTACGTCAAAACTTTATATAAGTACATTAGCAATTTTACACTTTATTTGAGATTATAATCAAGAGTTTTATCTCCTTATTTTATATTAGTATTCGATAGTTCTTTTCTTGGTCATTATCTTGTTCTTTCTTATCTGATTTTCTTGAGCATGATAGCCTCTGTCTATTATACAATATTTTTCAATGTTTAGTATATTTATTAACTTTTCTTATTAAGCATTTATTTTACACTTTTTCACTTAATTGTCTATCAAATTTTAGTTATTTTCTACAGAATTTGAGTTTTATATTCTCATGTTCTAAGGACATGACTGAATGTGTAGTCAAACCACTTCTAAAATTAAGCAACCATATTAATTTATCGGTTACAAGTGCTTCCATTTTTGCAAATGATGTTGCAAAAATTGTAGTTGTTTCTAATTTTTAGTTATAAAATGTTAATGGATATCATACTTAATCATTTGCTTCTTGTTAGTAAGAACAAAAATAGTTAACAGCTTAAAATTCCAGATGAAAAACCGTTTTTAAAAGACAACTTTTTATTTTAAACATTTAAAGCTAAATAACTCAATAACTGCTAGATTTAGGTATAGGAAGTAGTTAACAAAACTTAAAAAGAACAATTAAAGTTCTTTCTGATACCGTCATACCTTTCTAATACAGTGCTCAACAATTAATTAAAGGATCAAAGTAATATTTTACGCCAGAAATAGTAGAAGTTTGTAAAAATTTAATATAATTAAAATAATATTATTATCCAGAATTTGTTATCAATGTTAAACGAAATAAAATATTTTTTTATTGTGGCCATCCCTTTGCCAAATCCCCAAACACAGTTTGGTTTCAGTTGTTTTAAATAGTGGAATATTTTTATGATATAGTAGTTATAAAATATGCGTCGAAGACGTTAAGATATTTTCCAAAAACAACAGATTGTAAAATGGATCAACGAAGGGTTAACGCAACGTAAAATGGCTAAACATTTGGGGTTTTCACAAAGTGTTGTAAATAGAGCTTGGACTCGTTATGCCACAAATTGTGTAGATTCATATGTTCATGATGGATGGCCAACAACGAAGTACCAACCCTGATGACCAATGTATGCGGATTATTGCTAGACGGAACCCAAGATATACTCATCATCATCATCATTTTGGCTTTACAACCCTGTGTGGGTCCTAGCCTCTTCAAGAATTCTCTTTCAGTCGTCCCTATCCATCGCCTTCCTCCACCAAGCACGTATTTCTATATTTCTCACATCTTGGTCTATGTTATCTAGGAATCTTGTTCTGGGTCTTCCTCTTTTTCTTTGACCAATAGGTCTATCAAGGAGCGTTTTTCTAGCTGGGTCGGTTTGCTCCATCCGCATTACATGACCTACCCACCTCAGACGTCTTATCTTAATGTGTTTTACGATATCTGGTTCCTGGTATATTCTATAGAGTTCGAAGTTGTATCGTCTTCTCCAGACATCATTTTCATTTACCACTCCATAGATTCGCCTCAGTATTTTTCTTTCGAAACATCCTAACATGTTTTCATTGCTTTTTGTTAAAGTCCAGGTTTCTGAACCATATGTTAGGGCTGGGCGTATTATTGTTTTGTAGAGTTTTACTTTTGTATTTCTTGATATAGCTGTAGATTTAAAAAGGAGATTAAGCCCAAAATAGCATCTATTAGCCGTGCAAATTCTGCGGTTTATCTCTGCGGTAATGTCATTTTCTGTATTGACGAGCGTTCCCAGGTATACAAATTCATTAACTGCTTCGATGACGTCGTTTTCTATAACAAGTGGCCGTCGTATTTGTGGTTGCGGACCTACTTTCATGTATCCCAACATATACTGCTTCTCTTATTAACAGAACAGTGCGTAACGCCACTGTAAGTAAGAATAATTTCAAACCAAACCGTGAGCAATAAGACGTTTATCTCATCCAGTACTAACTAGGATACATCGCGAATTAAGAAGACGAATGAAGAACATCGCAACTGGACAATCAACGAATGAAGAAACTGTTTATTTACAGATAAATGGTCGTTAGCAATTAATTTTATAAAAATTGCTTACAAATAAATAGTTTATTTCCGATGGTCGTATTTTGGTTTGGACGGAATGAAGAAAAAGGTATAATGAATATTATAGTGTGCTGCAGCTGCTTTTGAGGAAGGCTCTATTTGCTTTTGGGGTGGTATTTGTTTTGATGGCTTAGTAGTTCTGACAGATGATATAATGATGGCTCAGAGATATAGAGATATAGTTGTAGAATCAATTATTGTACCATTTGTGGGTGCAAACGGAGAAAGTTTTGGCCTTATTGAGGCCAAAGACCAAAGATTACAGCATGACGGTATTGACAGAATAAAGTGACCAGCTCGGTCACCAAATATGAACTGAATAGAACATGTCAGGGCAATATAACACAACTAAATGTATTAGATAATCGTGTAAATACGCTTCAACTGTTAAGGGAAGTTGTGCAACACATATGGACAACGTTGGATCAAAATTGTTTGAATCGAGAGTATGTCTAATAGAGTAAGAAGTTTAGTTCGTTCACGAGGAGGTCCAACAAAATATAAGAATTTTTTATTTTAGTTTTGTAGATCAATTATCTCGTTATTTTAGATTTTATAGAACACAATAATATGTTACTTTATTTCAATAAATTATTTTTCTTGTTTTAATATTTTAATATTAAAATATTTTATTTTTACTTTTGATTATTTATATTTAAATATATATATATATATATATATATATATATATATATATATATATATATATATACAGTGTAGGAAAAATTTTATGGTCGGTATGGACCTTACGTGAGATGGAGTGAGAAACAGCTGTTTAAAAAGAGAGAGGTATATTAGGAACGCCCTTTATATCGCCGAATGGAAATATTAAAAAAGGGGAAATTCAACGTTGCCAAACTTATTGGTTTTATTTGACCTGTTGTCTTTTTTTGCATTTGAACAATGTTCTATCAAGAAGATAAAATGCTCAAGATAATCAAATTTGGGCGAAATTGATTTAAATGGCAGGTTACTGTTTTTTTTTATTGGGAATATGCCACAAGTTTTCTTTACAATAATTGTAATATAACATTTTGATTTCCATTTCGGAAATCGTTTTATATAAATAAAATTTATTAATGTTTCGTATTTTAAGTACGATTTCCGAACTAAAAATCTAAATATCAAAATAATTTCCCAATATGAAATAATAAACAATTAAACATGCATACAATAACGCCAAATTAAAAAATATTCATACACTAATTTATTTGGCAACGTCTAGTCTAGATAGTCGTCTGGTCAAAAGATCGAGTAATGAGAAGTAGAGGTGGGTCGTGCTAGTTTATCGTTAAGAGCGTAGGAGCAAAATTTCGGGCCAATGTTTTTTAAATGCATTCATTTTTTTCGAATCCTGAGAAAACTAATAAATATTTTTGAAAAAATTAAACGCAGAATGAAACAATACATTATTACCGAGAGCTGAAAGTCCCTGAAAACTTCTATAATGTTTATTTTAATAAGTTATAGGGATGAAAAAAAAAACAAAATTTAGTGTGATTTTTAATTTCAAATATCTCATTAAAAAAACTTTTTGTTTATTCTAAGGGACCTTCGGCCCTCGGTAATAATGTAATCTTTCATTCTGCATTTAAATTTTTCAAAAATATTTGTTAGTTTTCTCAGGATTCCAAAAAAATTTAAATTTTTTTGAATGCTAAAAAGCATTTAAAAATTTTAATTTTCATAAACAAGTAACTATGATTGTTTAAAAGTAGTTTCAAGTAAGATAGTACCTACATAAACAAACATAACGGCTATTATCGTTTATGTGTATATCTTTTGAAGTGAAAGAAACTACCTAATGATATATTTATTATAACTTGAAAAATAAACTAAACAATCATCATCATCATATAACGGGGATCCTATGGCGATTGCCGCTTCCCGCATTTCAGCCTCCATCTTTTCCTATCTCCCCAATCTCCCTCTTCTAAGCCTCTAGATTGCATTGTTTTTGTAATTTCTCTTCTCCAGGAATTTGGTGGTCTTCCCCTTTTCCTTCTTTCTGGCGGAACATACATTAAGGCTTTCTTTGGCCACCGCTCCTCCTCCATTCTCATCACGTGACCATACCATTGTAATTGCCTTCCTTGTATTCTATCTGAAAGAGTATCTCTAATTCCTGTACGGTTTCGTATTTCCTCATTCCTGATTCTTTCCACTCTCGATACTCGACATGACCTTCTAAGATAATCCATTTCCACAACGTCTACTTTATCTCGTTCATTCTTTGTCATCGTCCAACATTCGGCACCATATGTGGTAATTGGTTCTACAATTGCTCTGTATACGCGAAGTTTGGTATGCATCTTTATTTTATTAGACCACAGTAATGAATTCAGTATTCGGATGCATTTTTTCCCTTGGGTTATTCGGTTTTGTACATCTATCTTAACTCTGCCATCTACTGATATGATGCTTCCTAGATATTTATACTGGTTGCAGCCTTTTATGACTGCGTTTTCAAGCCTCAGATCTGTGGTATTTCCTCCAATTTTTAAATATTCTGTTTTAAATATTCTGTTTTAAACTAAACAATACAAATAGTAAATCGGACTTACATTTACATTACACGTTATTATTAAATCGCGAATAGTCTAAATTGACATAAAAACATAAGTTTTTCTACTTTACTTCTTGTTAACCGTATTCTTTTTTATTTAAAATTAAACCAGATTTTGAACATGTGTTCACATTTACAATACTTTACGAATATAGTGGTTAAGTTAGGATATACATGGCGATGGTTTTTCCACCGTTGTAATGGACTCTCGATGCAGGTGTACGTGTAGATGAGTCATCTCCAATTAATTGATCAAAAATACACCATGGACTTAAGTCATATTTGTTGGTTTCTTTTTCTTGTACTGGTTGATTTTCAATAGTACAATCTTCTTGTTCATTAATTATAGAAGTAACCAG